GTTTTGATTTTTTCTTAGTAATAAGCATTTTAGAACAGCCTCACTCAAATTAAGCTCACCATTTTAAAAAGTTCAGACATTTAGTTGTATGTGTGGCTTTTTAAAAATTTAAGCAGCTGGGCCCGGCGCAGTGGCGCAAGTGGTTAAAGGTCCTTGCCTTGCACGCCCGGGATCCCATATGGGCGCCGGTTCTAATCCCGGCAGCCCCGCTTTCCTTCCAGCTCCCTGCCTGTGGCCCGGGAAAGCAGTCGAGGACAGCCCAAAGCCTTGGGAACCTGCACCCGCGTGGGAGACCCGGAAGAGGCTCCTGGCTTCGGATTGGCATAGTATCGGCCCGTTGCGCTCACTTGGGGAGTGAATCATCGGACGGAAGATCTTCCTCTCTGTCTCTCCTCTCTGTATATCCGCCTTTCCAATAAAAAAATAATAAAAATAAATCTTAAAAAAAAAAAAATAGAAAATAAAAATTTAAGCAGCTACCCTGCATTAACCTCTGTTACTGTCTGTCCCAAGACAATCCCAGGGTCAGGGTGGATGGCAAAGGACCACCAGTGGGGCTGTACGTTATGTGATCACTTCCTGACTTCACTGACGGGCTGTCAGCTCTTGAGGGAGGCAGCCAGGCTGTCTGTTTTGCTCCTCATGGTCTGCTCAGCACACCACTGTGAACAAATGACGATGTGCTTAAGGGCTTCACAAGCTGGAGCTTACCATGTTTCCGAAGGTATGCAGAATTGAAGTATTTCACACAGATGGAAGAACCCAATGTCTGGAAATTGCTTGAAAATACTCCAAGAAAAAAGTAAGTGTGGAAAAATGATAAAAGATTGGCAGGATATTCATCACAAGAGATAGGGATAGAGGGCTTGTGCTATTCTCTACTTATGTGTAAGAAAAATTCTCCTAATAAAACAGTGACCACAAAGTTTACACTCTATGGGCCAGAAGGAAGGTACAGCATCATGGCATAAATATGCTCAGGGTTGGGTATTTAGCTTGGTTTGTGTGACAGGGAATATGTAAATACAAATGAAAAGTCGGGGAGCAGTAGTTAAGTCACAACTTGGGACGCCCACATCCTGTATGGGTGCACCTAGTTCACGTCCTGGCTTCCTCACTGCTGACGCAGCTTTCTGCTAATGCTCACCCTGGGAGGCAGCAGGTAATGGCCTTGCCAATCACAGCAGAGTATTCCTGGGTTCTAGGCTCCTGGCTCCTCCCTGGCCCAGTCCTCACTGTTGTGGGCATTTGTAGAATAAACCAGAAGTTGGAGGATCTTTCTCTGCTGTCTCCCTGTCTTTCAAACAAACAAAATGAAACAAACAAAAAAGTTTATAAAAACAATTGAGTTAGAGGGGCAATGATCATGTCATAGAGAAATATTGTGGCTAAGCCTTTCAACTAGCCCAGAAGAGCTGGTGTCGTGGGGCAGAGTTAAGCTGCCATTTGCAACACCAGCAACCCAAACTGAAGTGCTTTTTCAAGTCCTAACCACTCTGCTCCCAATCCAGCTTTCTGCTCAAGTGCCTTGGAAGGCAGCAGATGGACAGCCCAAGTGTTTGGGCCCCTACCACCCATGCTGGCATCCTGACTCCCTGGGTTCAGCTTGGTCCGTAACGGGCTGTTGCAACCACGTAGGGAGTAAACCAGTAAATGGAAGATACTTTCCTCTCTCTCTCTCTCTCTCTCTCTCTCTCCTTCCTTCTCTTTCATTTCTGTTCTGTCTCTCTCTCTCCTTCCTTCTCTTTCATCTCTGTTGATCTGATTTTCAAATAATCTTAAAAAAAAGACTAAGAAGCTAACTAAAAGCTAACTGAAAGAGAAAATTGGTATTTATTAAAGATGTGGAGAGGGGAAGTTGAATTAAGTACTTGGAGTAGCTGTGAAATTTAACTTTAAAATATTATTTTATCTATTTGAGTTCAGAGACAGAGAGATCATCTACGGGTTGGTTCAGTCTCCTCGAGTGACTACAAAGGACCAAGCCAGGCTGAGGCCAGAAACCAGGAATTCATCTGGATCCTCTCACATGGGTGCAGGGGCCCAAGAACTTGGATCACCTTCAATTGCTTTCCAGGTGCATTATCAGGGAACTGGACCTAAAGCAGAGCAGCTGAACCAGCTTAACTCACTGTGCCACAATGGTGTTCCTGAAAGTTAATTTTTTACAGGATTTATTTATTTTTATTAGAAAGGTAGATTAGGTTTACAGAGAGGAGAGACAAAGATCCTCCATTCACTGCTTCACTCTTCAAATGGCCTCAATTGTTGGAGCTGCGCCAATCCAAAGACAGAAATAAGGAGCCTCCTCTGGGTCTCCCTTGCAGGTGCAGCGACCCAAGGCCTTGGGCTATCCTCCACCACACCCCCTCACCACCAGGCGACAAGTAGGGAGCTCAATCAGAAGTGGAGCAGCCAGGACACAAACCTGCACCCACGTGGGATCCCAGTGCTCTCAAGATGAGCATTTAGCCAATGAGTCATCATGCCAGGGCAAAAATTTAATATTTTAGCCTCCAAATATCGGTAGCTGAAAGCCTTCGATTTAAAAGCTCACACTGGAACTGACATCATAATATATCAAATTAGGCTGCTACTGGGAATACTCAGTTGCCAGAGTGCTGGCTCCAATCCCAGCTGCTCTGCCTCTGGCCTAGCTACCTGCTAATGTACCTGAGAAGCAGTAAATGATGGCTCAAGTACTTGAGTTCCTTTCAAAAACATAAGCCCTGCAGGGGGTGGGGAGCAGGAATGATCATAATACAATAGTGAACAATTTAGGCTCAGTGCCCAGCCTAGGTTGGGTTTGAATCCTGGCTCCAAGGTATGCTATCTTTTTGATCCTGGAGAATCTGCCTATAGCAGGTAGTATATTCAAGATATGGTTGTTGGGAGGTTTAAGTGAAACAATAAACATCAAGTCTTACCTATAGCTGAATTAGGGTAAGCAGCTAACAAATGGTGGTTACTATATGCCTTGGAAACTGATTTTACCAAGATAACCATTAGCAGTTAAGCAAAAAAGGCATTTTTACCCTAGAGCCAACATTGAAGTAAAAAGGGAAATACTTTCCAAGATTGATGGTGTCTCTGACAGGAAAACAGGTCCATGTGGAGAGGGCTGGAGTTTTCAAGAAGACATCCCATTGGAGTGGGACCACTAGGGCTGAGGAAACAGCGCTGTATGGTCGATTGTGCAGCTCAGGTGCACACACACACTGATCTTGCTCAGCAAATAGTGAGAGACCATTCCAAAGGCTCTCAGGAAAATGTCAAGGCAGAAATATGTGCAGACTAAAGATCTGCCAAAGGATGGGAGAAGCACAGCAGAGAAATTGAGTAGTCTGGGTATCACGTAGCCAGGGCCAAATTTAAGATGCTGAGTAAAGGAAGCCTGCCAGAATTCTGCCATCCATTCCAGGTTTGGTTGGAGGCAAACTCCGCCCTTCTCCGGTTACCATGGTAGCCATCACTAGCTTCAGACAGAAGCCAGGAACCACGAGGTTTATCAAGGTATCCCATGTGTGTGAAAAGCCCAAGGACCTGGTTCATCTGCTGCTGCTTTCCCAGGCACATTAGCAGGCAGCTGGATCAGAAGTGGAGCAGCTGGGACTCAACTGGTGCCCTTATGGAATTATGGGATGCCAACATTGCAGGCAGAAGCTTAACCAATTACATCATAATGCTGGCCTCAAGGTAGGTGCTACTAAAATAGTCCCATTTTACAGGTAAGGAAACTGAAGTACAAAAATGTTAAGCAACTCATCTGCATGTATAAGGCTCCAAACTTGGAGAGTTTGGCTTCAGGGCCACACTCTGAACTTTTTAAAGGATGCATTAAGCACAGCTTGTTGGAAGCTGGGAGAAGGAAGCCAGCAGGATGAGAAATGGAAGATCTCACTGAAACCCATCACCTGGAAAAGGAGGAGCAATAAGAGCACCAGCAATGGTAGCTTTAAGATAGGCAGAGACAACTCAGATTGGGAACAGCAAGAAGGATGGGCATATGTGGAAACAAGTGTGGTCAGATCACTGCTGACAGGCTGTGATTTTGATGCAGAGCCTCAGAATGAGGGGAACCAGGCTTGTGGAGATGAGCGGGCTGCCTGATTGAAACTTAGAAGAGAAAGGGACTAGAAATGCCAAAGGACTGTCACTGAACAATAGCAACCTGGGCGGGGCTGGCCGCTGCAGGTTTGCGATGGGGCTAGTCAGCCTGAGTCTCTGCCGTTTCTTTCTCAGAGGTGCAGATACAGTGAGAACAGTGGGATCAGTTGATAGAGAACCCAAACCAAGCAGGAACATAAAATGGAAAACAAGGGGACAAAGGTCTCGAAGGGTCAAGAATGCGATTCACTAGAAATTCAGAGGCCCCTCAAGCCAGGATCCCAATCCTTGCACTGTGGGGAGGCCTGGGTCTAACCCCTGAGTCCCTCTCTGGCAGGCAGAGAGGATTCTGGGCCGATACCCAGGAGCTGGCCCTTGTGCTGAGTCCAGAGAAGATGGTGATGTGCTTACAGGTGAACCAGTAATACTGTAACTTCCCACAGTGACCAACAACTGCCTGGGTAACAGCCTCAAGGGAGACAGACTACAGGTTGGGTAGAAGGGGTTTCAGGAACTCCTCAGCTAATCCAGGGGCTTTGATGCAGTGCTGAAATGGGCCAATGTCAGCACCTCAGGAAAGAGTGGTGTGGTTAGGGCCTGGGGGTTGGGAGGAGGTACTTGCAGGGACATCCCTCATATGCGCACTAAAGTGACAGTGTTTATGAGATAAACCAACAGGAGACTGAAAGGGAAACCTGAAATCAGGGTCTTTACTTTAAATGTTGTTACTAAATAGTTCTCCAGGCAAAACCCATGAGCTTGACCAAAGGATTAACTATTATCTATTAACTATTAATTATTTCCATTCAAGGAATTAGAGTATATATAGGTCAACTGGAATTTGATAAATTTCATAAAGTCCACTTCAACAGAGTTCACAGAGAGACTGAAAGTTTGATGTAAGTATGAATTTATTGACATGAATTTCCTTTAGCTGTTATTCAAACACAGAGAGGGTACTGGAGAGCTGAAGACAATGATAACAAACCCACAAAATCTGAAGTTTGCAAGGCATACTCCCTCCCTCCTCTTGGGCCAAGGGAAGGGGGAGGAAGGCTGAAAGGTGAAGGGAGAAGGAGGAAGAGGGAAGGGAAGGAGAGGGGTAAAGAAGGAGCAGAGGTAGAGAGGGAAAAAGAGAATATGAATAAATCTTAAAAAAAGAATCTGTAGACGGCTTTCAATCACAGTAAGAAGTAATGACAGCTGAACAATTTAAGCATTTCAACCAGAAACATAGATCTATTCCATAGATACCAAATTGATTAGCATATAATTGAGTTTGAAAATATACAAAATATTTGTTGTTCTTACATACCGAAATTAAAACCTAATTTTAAAAAGTGCACAGTAAAAACAGCAGAAGGAAACCTACAATATCCATGGTACATGTATTGTTTTCCATTTCACTGTCAACATCCAATTCAGTATTTGCCTTCCTGGTTACAAATATATTTTAAATGTCTCAAGGCCATTTACAACACCAACTAGTTTACTGGGTCCAGCAACACTTCAGCTTGCCGAAGGCCGCCCGCACTGGACGTGGTCTGGGCCCTGCAGTTCTCTGCAGCAGTAGCAGCAGTTCTGGAAAGTACAGTTGCCAACCAGTTACATGTAAACTATCGAGTCTTGTTCTTCTTAGAATTTCCCTGTGTAAACAAAAACATCAACAATAAGAATGAAAAGTTCCAGAAAAAGTTTATAAACCAAGCTGTCTGATGGTGTATTTTAGTTTGGAATGCTTGAGCTTTTCAAGAGAGAGAACAGCCAATGACTTGTCTTCTTTAACTTCTTTGCAGTCTTCTTTAACTTACCCTGCTCTCTGAAAATACTTCAAAAGGTTCATGGAAATGAATTCAGAAGCAGGCATTAACACAAACAACTGTGACATCATATGAATGATTATTTCCAGGGGTCCCCATCCTCTGGGGAATGAATTCAGGCAATAAAGAAAAGAAGGCTGCTGGGGCTAGCACTGTGGCTCACATGCTAATCCTCCACCTGCAGGCACCAGCATCCCATATGGGCGCCAATTCATGTCCTGGTTGCTCTACTCCTCATTCAGCTCCCCGCTTGAGACCTGGGAAAGCAGTAGAAGGTGGCACAAAGCCTTGGGACCCTGCACCCACATGGGAGATCCAAATGAAGCTCCTGGCTTCTTGCTTCAGATCAGCTCAGCTCTGGCTATTGTGGCCATTTGGAAAGTGAAGCAGCAGATGGAAGAGCTCTCTCTCTCTCTGTCTTTCCTCTCTATAAACTATCTTTCAAATAAAAGTCAATAAATCTTTGGAAAAAAAAAGGAACGAAAGCTACTATCTTGGATTTATCTAAAACTCAAATTCTCCCCTCACCACCCCTCAGGGAAAAGATTACATGAAGCTGAATAAAAGATTTTTTAACATATTTAACATATTTTTTTTCTTAAGACTTTTGGAGGTGTTCATAGGTAATAATGCTGAACACATGCCACCCAACACCCCAGGCACTGGTTATTGTAGCAAACAAGCCCAGACACTGGCTGAGCACAAGGTAAAGGGAAGATGTCTGAACTTAGAACTTACTCTCTATTCTCTTGAATACAAAGATTCCTACTTTCCAGTGTTGTATGACTTTTCTTCCTTTTGAAGTGGTTCACTTCTTACGAGTACATTCTAATTCGATTCCTAGGTTATTGGGTCTAAACATTTTCTCCTTAAAAGGGGGTAACTTGCAAAATACAACCACCAAGAGCAAGATAATAACAAATAATTGAAGATGTTTACTTGGTAGCCAATGGAGACAATGTCAACTCAGTTAAAGGATGATACTACAGCAATATAAATTACTAACAAAGAGGAAGAGGCAAAAAAAAAAATAGGGGTCAAAGTTAACAATATAAACTTAATGCATTTGGGGATCTTACTCAGAATTTCATTAATGGGCAGGTCCTTTATGGAAAAGATTAAAAAGCTCTGAGAAAAAACTTGCAAATCCCTGAATTTCTGAAGTAGCTGCAATTCAATGAGCTTTGAGGTACTCAACATTTACCCTTCTTAAGTCAAAATCAAATACTTCCACAACTCTAGAGCCTGAAGATTCCCTAAAATCACTGTCAACTTCTTTTCAAGTGTTAGGTGCTAGAGTGGATTTTCTTATACCATTGCTGAACTCTGTCATACACACCAGGAGAAAAAACAAAACAGACATTCTTCCATGTGTAGCTTTCTACCATTACTAGAAATACAACCCAGGGGTGAGATGTTGCTCTGCTAGAAGACCATGAGGCCACACGAGCTAGCAAGGCATCTTTCGAGAGGACCAGCCTCCTACCCCCTACCTCTAGCTCACATTTCTGAAGCACAAGGAAGCAGCAAACCATAATCAGAACCACACTGGCTGGTTATAATTGTGACCAAGATGGTGCAGAGAAGCATCAGAGACATCCCTCAATGTAGTAAGAAGTTACTCAACATCATGAAACTACACAGGAAGCCAAAAGCACCTGATGCAGATTCCAACGCATTAATATGTTTTCCAAGGAGAACCCCACAGAGCAGAATGCACCCTACATGGTTGCCAGCAGATGTCAAAAGAGAGCTATGTTTCTTTGACCTTTTCTTCTTCCACAATGTACACAAACTCAGTTAATGCTTGCTGAGTAAGCAGCAGCAATCATCAGGAGTACAGGGTGTAGACAGAATGCCAGCTAGTGGTGGCATAAACATCATCTGAGTTACCAAAATGTGCTAAGCATCTGAAATGGTGCACAAAACTGAGCAGCTGGCCAACTTTCCAAAGCTTGCTTTTCACTGCAGAAGAATGCACGCACTGTGTTATAATAACACAGACACTGTATGTGGATGTGAACTGCTTCCTGAACACGGGAGTCAACATTTACTGACCCTGGTCTGGACAAGCAAAGAGAAACAAAATCAAGGGAAATCTCTGGAGCGAAAGCATAAGTCAGTCCTAGATTAGATGAGTAACTATGAGAGTAAATGTGCTCAAGGTTACTCTTCAGCAGCCCTGTTTTACCCCTTCTTATAAACAAAGAGCAATTCCCCTCCCAAGGCCCTCTGAGAGGCACCACTGGACAACAGTGGCCAAAGGGCCAAAAAACAGCAGTTTTAGAGCCTAAGAGGTCAAACCCTCTCAGCTTGGAGCCCACAGAAACTTCATCTTCCCACCGGACAAGAGAGCAAATAGCAAGGAAAATATTTACACTTAACAATTTCCCACAATTTTGCTCCTGAAATACCTGCTTCTATTAACTATTCGAGGCACGGAGGCCCCCTGCTTGCCCTCCACGCACCTTACTGGACATCTTCAGGGTGTCGATCTCTTCTCTCTGCTTAGACAACGTCTCGTTCATGCTGCACAGATGGTCACTCATCATGCTTAACTGATCCTCGTAACTCCTCTTGGTGGTGGTTAGCTCATCCTATGTAGCAAAGGAAAGGCGGGGTGCAAACCCCACTGGATATATCACTCCAAGAAGCTTTTGGATTTGCCTTAACAATGTAGAGAGGTAGCCTATCAAGATATTGATCATTTAATATGAAAGGAACAGCACAGGCCTGGTAAGAAAATAACGCGGGAAAAAAAAAAGTTGTCTTCAGCCTTAAAATTATACCGTTTCATGACAAAAACCATGTAAGAGTTCCCTTCTACACCAAATGCAAAGCTATTAGAAAAGCCACAGGACTAAATGATCTTTTGCAAGCTCCCTAAGTTTTCTTTAGCTTTAAGTGAGACGTCAGACCAACTGAAGCCATCAAATACCTTGATGGCCCACAGCCTGCCCAGCAGCACCCAACCTGGGACAGGCGGCCTTTGTCTCAGGCACTCTCTAAACCCCTAAAATCTAATTCTGTGTTCCTAGCTAATCTGATAAACTAAACAAGCAGGGATGGTGATGTGGCACGTTAATCCTCCACCAGTGGCACCAGCAATCCCACATGGGTGCGGCTTCGTATTCTAGCTGCTCCACTTCTGATTTATCTCCCTGCTAACAGCCTGAGAAAGCAGCAGAGAATGGCCAAGGTCTCCTACATGGGAGGCACAGAGGAAGCTTCTGATTCCCAGCTTTGGACCAGCCTCGCTCTGGCCATGGTGGCCATTTGGGGAGTGAACCAGCAGATGGAAGATCAATATCTCCCTCCTTCTCTTTCTGTAACTCTGACTTTTGAGTAAGGTAAATAAATCTTTAAAACAACAAAACAAAAACAAACTAAACTAAACTAAATAAGGAAAGGAGAATAAACAAAGAGTAAGTGGGTGTTGCTATGCTATGTGTTTTTGTTTGTGCCTGGCACCATGGACTTTCGGAAATCAAGGCCGGGGCACAGAAGAATATTCTGCAACCCTACCTTTCAATATGACAAACAGGAAAGAAAAAGAAGAGAATAATTTGTACAAAACAAGTCCAAACCTCACCCTAGTGAAGATTTATTAGAAAGAGTGGCAAAAAGGAAGGATTATGGGTAAATAAATATAATTTAAGCAAGCACTAACTATAAAATGATTTAAAATCAAAATCAAATCAGAGAAACAAACAATACAGATATTGACACAACATGCTACTTTTAAAAATGAGTTAGAAATAAATTGGTTAAGAAAAAAAGCATGTCTAGAGGTCCAGCACTGCTACTTTGGAAAGGAAATGCTGGTTGTGCTAGCCAAGAACTTACAAAGAAACAGCACTGGGAACTCACCTGAAGTCGGCTGATGTTCTGACTAGCAAGTTTCATCTCCTCTGTCAACGCCTCCTTCGACTTTTCTGCCAAGGCCAATCTCTTAGAGAGTGCCCGACACTGCAAAATTGGAAAACATAAAGAGGGCGCATTTTCCAAATGCTTCAGAGTAGAATACTAGAAAACATTTCCAAAGCCATAAGCCATTTATTCACTCATTCATTCACTCATTCATTCATCCAGCCATGAGTATTTGTCAGATACCTACAGCCACTGTACCAAACACTGGACTACACAGAAGAAAGCTATGCCCCAAACTCTACTATTGCAGTAAAGAGGAGAAAAACCTAAGCACCCAGGCTCACTCATGTTTGTTTTTCCCCTCTAGGTCTAACCTGACGACCATGGCTGTACATTAGCCCACAGTTCTTCGATACTTAGAATTAATAAAGAGGCAGATGACTACTTTGAAAGTCATCACCAATTTCTACCATGCAGTTAACACTCTAAGATACTTCTGTCGTGTTTTAAAGTCCTTAATTAGAGACCACATTACAGGAACAATAAAGGCTTTACAGTCCTACTTCACATTTTATGCTTTGTCTACAGGAGGAACAGATGAACCTGAAACCGTGACGACCAGAGATACTTTCTTCAGGGTTTCTACCAAACCTAAAATACCTAGAGATAAGCTAAATCAAAAAGAAAGCTAAAGCCTCTTTCACACTGTTGTTGAAACCGAGTATACAGTCAGAAGGGTCACTGAACTTTCTGGGAAGGCCATTCAGATGGACAAGGAGGATCTGATGAGACACATCTGAATGCTGTGTCAACATTGGGTGCTCAGACTAACCATTCCAGGAAAGTCATCCAGTGGGTCAACCACTTCCTGTTTATAGTCAAGGGAAAGCTAGGCCAATATAAAAAGTCTATCACAATTGTGCTGAAAACATTTAGTAAAATAAGCAAATCTTGTGGAAATAAAAGTCTTAAAAATATCCCAGCTTCTTTTCACTTTCTGAGAAAATATCAGGAATGTTTCACCAACCAAGTCCACCACCCCCTATTAAACAAACATCCACTCTGCTCAGCACAAAGAGGGTGCAGGACCTCTGGAGGATAAAAGCCAAGGCAGGACACTACTGCAGACAGCAGCTAGGGGCCACACAGAGCAGGTGCATACATACCAGGTGAGTATAGATGACAGCTAATTCCATTGCCAAGTCCTCCAGTTGCCTTCCCCCCCTCACCCCCTTTCTGCATTGCAACACACTTTTCCTATTCGTGCGCTTCTTAAACATACTCTGCAACAGCTGTCTGCAAACAACATGGAGCTAGGCACACTGGGTAGCTCTCAACCCCTCTAACTGCTACAGTGCAGGAGAAAAATCATAAAGTCAGACCCAGTAAAGGAAGTGTTTCCCTTTTCAATTTATTAAATAATTTTAAGCATGATAGTTCTCTTTCTGCCATCTATATAACTTATCTTTGAGATTTCAAATTAGATATCTTAAAGATCTTACATGCTGAGGGGCATCCATTATCCCATTATTTGCTTTTTCTTACACCTGTGTTTTCTTCATTCCCTCCCTTTTGTACTTTTAATATGATTTTATTAATCATATTGGAAGATGTTTTTCTAATTGTCATAAGACAATGAAATAGCTGGTGAGAAAAGAAGAAAATGCAACAAAATATATTTTAAAAAAGTTAAGTATGGCAATATTCAACCTATATTATGTGACCTATTAAGTCTCCTAGCTATCTTAACAGTAACTTGGAAAAGACAAATCAATCTTATGCTTATTGAAATGAGCGTTTAGGGGGCCAGAGCTGAGGTGTAGCAAACCAACCCTCCACGTGCCGCATCAGTATCCCATGTGGGGACACTGGTTCAAGTCTCAGCTGCTCCACTTCTGATAGACATCACTGGAAAAGCAACAGACTGTGGTCTAGTCCTGCAACTATGTGGGAGACCCAGAAGATCCTGATTTCTGGCTTCAGACCAGCCCAGTCCCAGCTGTTGCGGCCATCAAGGGAGTGAACCAACGCATGGAAGCTCTTTCTGTGTCTCTCCCCTCTCTCTTGGTAATTTTCCCTCTCAAATAAAAATTAACCTTTAAAATGAGGGTTTTAGTATTCATACTAATCAATATGAACTGTGATCAAATCTTCAGACACAGGACACAGGCATTGACTTTCTCTTCTAGTCAACAGTAAGAGAACTGAACATGACCTAACTCCAAGAGGACTAAGAGAGAGCCCCCAGCCAAGGACCTGCCACTCACCTCAGCATAAAAGTGCACTGACTTACTGTCAGCCAGCTGTAGCTGAGACGTAAGTTCCACTATCCTGGCCATGTAGTGGTTTTTAATCAAGTCTTCACGGGATTCAACATCTGGAGCCTAAACACAGCACACAAACAAATGCCAGTGAGATGAAGCAATTCTAGAAGAAAAAAGGCAACATTTTGTACGTTTTTCCTTAAATATTATGAGGAATCATAACAGACTAATCTTTATTGATTCAGCACCTCATCTTCCGATGAAGCAGCTGAAGTGCAGAACTGGGAAGCCCCCTGGATTCATGTCCCTACCTCCACCTTCATTAGCCTCAAGCCTGTCAAAATCTCTGTCTCTTCTATCTTCTCTTGCAATGGGAGAGGGCAACAAAAAGGAGCTATTCATCAGAACTGCTAAAATCTAAACATCGTTTTTCTCTCACAAATGATTATAACTCTAATGTCCTTCAATACACTAACAAACTAGACTATCTCTAGGTTATGCAGTATGATATTTGATTCAGACTGTTATTTCAAGTAGTTACTCAAACAGTAATATTGTTTCAAAATTCATGAAGAAGTTCAGAATTACATGTGTTAAAAGACCAATTAGAAAATCAAAGAATTTCAAGAAAATAAAAAAGAAAATCAAATAACCTAACCAAACTAGAATTATCACTATGTCAACTGATTAGTAAAGTGGAACGATTTCCAACATGTTTCATGGTCACTTATAAAAACACTTTATAAAGTTATATATTAGAATATTTCAAAAATAGAAACATGCACAACTCTTTAGCAAACAAGATCTCTCACTCTGAGAGATAGAAAGAGAAACCAAGCATTCTTAAGCCACCGGAAAGCCCTGCTTTAGTAGCTCTCCACAGGGAGGATTAATGCGCTCAGCTAAACGCAGAACGCCAGTGAACAAATGGCCAAGTGTGCACTGCACCTTTCAAACTGCCAAGGCAAGTCATTCAACAAGACAACTACAAAAAAACAAAAACAAAAACCAATCAACCAAACAAAAAAACCAATCAGGCTACAATTTGTGGATACCAATTAAAATAGAGCCAAAGAGAAAGCAATGAGGATTCACTGATGGATGGGTGAAACAGCAGCTCATTCGCTGAAATTTTCAAGCAAGACAACTGGACAAAGGTGGCTTTTGCAGGACACTGTCAATAAACATGTTTCCAGATATTTATAAAGAAACAAGATGCCAAATACACATTACCTCACTGTCAGATGTCCTGGTTAAAATCCCAATCTAGAACATAAGAGAAAACATGTTTAGGACCAAATATTCACACTGCAGACTAAAAAGGTCACACATTGCTAACCGTTCCTCAGTTCAGCGCATGCTATTGTGCAGGTACTCAGAGTGCAGAGATACAGTCACCTACACACCGCCTTTTACTACAAGATGCTGGACCTGCACACAGACAACTGCATTTGCTACTTCTGCCATGAGACACTAATTATCTGCTGAAATATTGGTTGGTTAAATTCACCAAGCCTAACAAATCCACTAGGAAGATAAACAGAAAGATCAACTTTTCACTTCAACTTATCATTTCTACACCTTTTTGCACAGTAGCAGAGTCAGCAAGGAAGCATTAAAGACTGTTCAATGGTGACTATAAAAGCAATTTGATGGCCCAATGCAATGGCTCAATTGGTTAATCCTCCCCCTTCAAGAGCTGGGAATCCACATGGGCAGCAGTTCATGTCACAGCTTCTCTACTTTCCATCCAACTCTCTGCGTGTGGCCTGAGAAAGCAGTGGAGGACAGCCCAAGGCTTTGGGACCCTGCACCTGCATGGAAAGAAGCTCCTGGCTCCTGGCTTCAGATCGGCTCAGCTCCAGTCATTGCAATCACTTGGGGAGTGAACCACAGATGAAAGATCTTTCTCTCTGTCTCTCCTTCTCTCTGTAAATCTCCCTTTCCAAATAAATAAACATTTTTTTAAAAAAGCAATTTGAACAGAAAATACAAATACTCTGGCTAAGAACTCAAAAGAAGAAAGTAGTTGCAGGCACCTGGCAAAGTGCACCCACATTACACACAACAGTGTAGCTCGAACTTGGTTCCTCTGCTTCTAAACCAGCCTCCTGCTGATACGCACTCTGGGAGGTAGCAGATGAAACTCCAAGTACTTAGGTCCCTGATGTTCCCATGAGAGCCTGGGCTGGAGTTCTGGGTTCCTGAGCAGCCCTGACAATTGCAAGCACTTGGGGAGTGAACCAGTAGATGGAAAATCTCTCAAATACAATGGAAAAATTTAAATACTGAAAAAGAATAAATATACTTTTTCATACTAACTAAACAATAATTTCTGACTTAAATTAATTTAAAAATAATTTTAAACATATTATAGTGCTGCTAGTTTTTTTTTTTAAAGTTTGCTTCTGTAGGTTAACATTTTCAGAGTGTGATAATGACTGACTTCAGGTTATTTGCAAGGCAGAAGGGCACACATATGCTTAGATACAACTTAAAACCACCACTAGGAGCATTTCAGCTGATTCCGTTAATCAAAGACGACATCCAATACTTCACATACTTTAAAAAATATTTTAATAGTATTTCCCTGAGTAGTGATCAGTTCATCAACTAAATGTGTACTAATAAATGCTATACCCAAACAACTGTAGAAATCTTTCGAAAGACTTTTAAAACCAGACACATAGTTTTCTTCTGAATGAAGCAGGAGGAGTAATTACTTTCTCTATTCGTTAGAAATGTTTATTACGATATGCCAATCATTTGACTTATATATTCACTTATAACTGCATTTGATAAACTCCAATAATGCATCTATTCTACCTACCCAGTTTCATCCCTGTACTGCCGGGAGGTGACTGAGAATATATTATCGTGCCAGGTCCTTCCAAGGAATTCTGCTATACAGATGGAAGGAATCATTCAACACTGATAACTTGAGCATCTTCATTTGAACTAATAAAAGTATAAACTGATACAGCCCATTAAGAAAATAATCTGGCAATAAATATCAAAGAACTGGAAAACATTCACATCCTTTGACCACATAATTCCAGCCCTGAGACTACATCCTCCAGAAAAATCATCTAGAGGTTGATGCCCAGACATAGCAGGCTAAGCCTCTTCCTGAGGTACAGACATCCTAAGTGGGCACCGGTTCAAGTACTAGATGCTCCAGTTACAATCCAATGTGCTGGAAAACGCCTGAGAAAGCAGCAGAGGATGCCCAAGTGCTTGGACCTCTGCACTCATGTGGGAGACCCAAAAGAAATTCCTGGGTCCTGGTTTTGGATCAGCCTACTTCCAGCTATTGTGGCCATCTGGGAAAATGAGTCAGCAGAGGGTAGAGTCTCCCTTTCGCTAGCTCTACCTTTACAATAACATATATACATCTTTTTAAAAAATCATCTAAAATGCAGAAAGAACCTAAGGCATAAAAATATTATTAAAAATAGTAAGCATTATAAGTCATGTTTAATCATATCTAAACTATGGCATACTATATAGGGAATCCTATGGGAGCAATAATGAAGCTTATATGGAGGCACTAATGATGAGATTAATGTCTGCACATTAACATGCTGAAGGATTCAAAATTTGATATAGGACAATCTCAACCATATATAAATTTCATGGGCCCGGTGGCGTGGCCTAGCGGCTAAAGTCCTCGTCTTGAACGTGCTGGGATCACATATGGGCACTGGTTCTAATCCCAGCAGCTCCACTTCCCACCCAGCTCCCTGCTTGTGGCCTGGGAAAGCAGTCAAGCACGGCCCAAAGCTTTGGGACACTGCACCCGCGTGGGATACCCGGAAGAAGTTCCTGGATCCTGGCTTCGGATCAGCATAGCATTGGTCATTGCGCTCACTTGGGGAGTGAATTATCGGATGGAAGATCTTCCTCTCTGTATATATCTGACTTTCCAATAAATAAATAAATCTTTAAAAGAAAATTTCATTAGAAAAAATGTTGGGACCAGCATGTTGGCTCAACTGGCTGACCCTCTGGTCTGTCAGCACTGTCATCCCGAATGGGCATTACTTCATGTCCTGGCTGCTTCACTTCCAATCCAACTCCCTGTTTGCGGCCTGGGAAGGCAGTAGAGGACGGCCCAAAGCCTTGGGACCCTGCACCTGTGCGGGAGACCAGGAAGAAACTCTGGCTACTGGCTTCAGATCAGCTCAGCTCCAGGTGTTGTAGTCATTTGGGGAGTGAACCTGCAGGTGGAAAGTCTCTCTGCCTCTCCTTCTCTCTGTAAATCTGTCTTTCCAAACAAACAATAATAATAAAAAAAAAATCTTACAAAAAGAAAAAAACAAGGAAATGTTGATGGTAGTGGCTTTGTTTTCCAGGATAATGATAACTGCTCCCTTCCTTTTCTTTTCTATATTTTTTAGTTATCTAAATAGATATGTAATGTATATGTGTTATTGTTACACTTAAAATATAATCTTAAAATTCTATTAACTTTATACAGTGCTTTTAATCCCAACTACCCCCCAAATGTATATGTATACTTTTCTTTCGGGTGATCATTGCTATCTTTACAACAGCAAGGGGCTGAAATGTTCAAACTACAGAGGTGGTGTTTTAATGAAAATGGCAAACATCTAACTTTTGAAATGCTTTCAATTTAGAAATAGCAGGTTTGTTTTTTCTTCTTATTATTATTTCAGCCCCAAGATGCTTGGATCAAAGTAATCCTTGGGTAGCTGCAAGTCTCCTTTGCCGGTAAAGTAATCTTGGAATGGACAGACTGCTAACATGCAAGAGGAAGAAGACAGACACATGTGCATGCACTCAGTTCACTTAAGCTTATGTAAGGGAAGATGGGGTATAGAAAGAATGGCTGAGAAGTAAATAGCAAGGTAAGTGGAAAACTCTGTCCCATCTTATCTCTAGTCTCCCATGCACAAGGTGAGAACCAAATCATTTCTGGAAGGGATCTGTCAGGTACAGAAGAGAATGTGAGGTAAGACCCTTCTTTTCTAATTATTATCATTAATTACATTGTATTATGTGACACCGTTTTATAGGTACTGGGATTCCCCCCACCCCTCCCATATCCCTCCCCTCATGGTAGATTCCTCCACCTTGTTGTGTAACCACAGTTCAAGTTCAGTTGAGATTTTTCATTGCAAGCATATACCAAGCATAGAGTCCAGCATCTTATAGTCCAGATAAGTTTAACAGCTTCTTGGGGAGACCTTCTCTGGTCCTCGTTCAGCTGATGGTTGCATTGGGTTGGTTCCGTCTTGTTTACCTGGTATACTCTTCCCCTGTGTTGTTTCCCACTTGCTTTTAAAACTCACTCATTTATCTCTTTTGCTGCACCTGTCTCAACCCTGTGGGGACCACCTCTGGGATTCCACAGCACTCTGTCCCGACCACTACCAAAACTCTTCTTCCAACAGATTGAAAGCAACTAAGGAAAGGTAATACAACTCATTGTCCAGACTACGCTGCAAAGTGAAAGGAGGCAGCCCATGTAATGACTCTCTAATTCTGATCATCAAAGACAATGCCTGAAATGGCGGTTCATGGACAACGCAGCCTCTCAGCTGTGCCTTAAATGATGGAAAGGGCTTTGAATTCAAGACAGTCAAGGCACAAAAACATAATCAGAAATACAGATAAACACATCTGGGCAGAAGAAGCAGGATACAAGTAGATAGTCAAGATTGTAAAGATGACCAGAGCACAGAGTACAGTTTAGATTTGTAAGAGGAAATGAAGAAACAACTAAAAAGGTAGTTTGAAACTAGGTTTGCAGGACTTAAACTGCCAAATGAAAGAGTGAATCAGTCTAGAGGTAATAAGCAGCCACCAAAGCCTAGAAGCAAGAGACAGAGTCATCACTGATACACTCTAGGAAAACTACTCTGACGGTGCTTTATAAAAGAGGTGGAACAAGCAGACCCCTCAGAGGCTCCGACAGGTGTCGAGTGCTGCCGTTTCATGCGTCTCTTGTTGCTTCACTTACACTATGTACAAACATTCAATCACTGCAGGAGATGTGTATCGGAGGCCAACTTGCCACTGTGGGACACTAGACAATCATCCTGCAGGTAGCGACCATGCAGTTCAGAACTCCAGAAAACTGGGTTTTCTCTGTTGGCTCTTTTAAATTTTAAATCATTTTTTCTCCCCCTTATTGTAAAAAAAAAAAAAAAAAAAAAAAGACACATACCTGCCTGCTGGAGTTGACAGCTGCTAATGTGCTACCTTTGTTTTACTGATCTGCACACATGTATTTTTCCTGAACAACCTGAAAGTAAGTTGTAGACATTACAACCCCTTGCCCTAGGTACTTTGACATCTATCTACCAAAAAAAAAAAAAAAGGATGATATCCTTCTAAATAATAACACCATTAGGAATATCAATAAGCACCTGAGGTCCATGACACTGCTAAGATGCAACCTAATCTGTATCTATCTTTTTTTTTTTATTTATTTTTATTATTTTTTTAATTGGAAAGGCGGATATACACAGAGGAGAGAGAGAAAGGAAGATCTTCAGTCCGATGATTCACTCCCCAAGTGAGCGCAACGGGCCGATGCTATGCCGATCCGAAGCCAGGAGCCTCTTCCGGGTCTCCCACGCGGGTGCAGGGTCCCAAAGCTTTGGGCTGTCCTCGACTGCTTTCCCGGGCCACAGGCAGGGAGCTGGAAGGGAAGCGGGGCTGCCGGGATTAGAACCGGCGGGGCCCATATGGGATCCCGGGCGTGCAAGGCGAGGACCTTTAACCACTTGCGCCACCGCGCCGGGCCCTGTATCTTTTAAAAAGGAGATGGCTTGCAGGTTTTCCTGTCGGCCGTGAGCTGGGTGGAAGAACACCACAGAGGTGAGGTCAGCACCAAGGCCCTTGCCTCAGGACGGCTCCTCAACAAGCAGAGATTGTTCTGACTTATTTTCCTTCTCAACTTCTCCCTTTTCCTCATTTTTTGTTAACCGTGGGAAAAATAATTTGAAAACTTCAAAAAATATATAAATTCTCTGAGGTCGAGAATTTTCTTTACCTTCTAAATCACTATAGTTAAAATTAAGAAACATAAAGCTAAAACATAACTTGTCAATACCCTGCTTTATGAAAAGGAGTCAATTTGACAGGTTTCTGCATTGTGTTTTACAGAGCTTTATCCTCTCTAGGAATCTACCATATAATTGATTTAAAAGAGTATTTATGGTCATTTCTTCTAAAAGGCCAGCACTGGGCATAGGTTCAAATCTCAGAAGCTCTACTTCCCATCCAGCTCCCTGTTAGCTGACTGGGGCAAGCAGCAGAGGAAGGCTCAAGTGTTTGGGGTCCTGCCATTCACACGCAGACCCAAGAGAAGCTCCTCGCTAGTCATTTCTGCCTGGCTCAGTTCTGGATGTCACAGCCACCTGAGGAGTGAACTAGCAAATGGAAGATCTCTCTCTCCCTGCCCGCATCCTCTAATTCTGCCTTTCAAATAAATATATAAAACAAACAAACAAACAAACAAAAAGCCAGTTAGTTTGTCTGCATCCTGTCACAGTGTCTGCTTGGAGTCCTGGCTTCTCTGCTTTTGATCCAGTTTCCTGTTAGTGTGCACCCTGGAAGGCCAAGTGATGGCTAATTCCCTTCCACCCATATACTGAATTTTAGGTTACTGGCCCAGTCAAGTCCTGGAGATTTCAGGAAACGGGGATCTATCTCTGCCTCTGTTTCAATAAAGTAAAATTAAAAAAAAAAACAACATAATACCACATCACACATATTTTTATGTTAAACAAAATCATCCTAAAATGTGACTTACTATATATCTTCCTCGGGGTAAGTCTCATGCACAATCATGGGGAATTCAATAGTTACTTTGTGAAGGAGACATCCTGCATGCTAACCTGCTTTTCCTAAGAATACATGAATCATTGCTATTATAAATGCAGGTGCACTTAGATGGCTGCTCTAGCCTGAATGTCCCTCCTATCCTTGTCAAAATTTTAATGTTGTAATCCTAAACCTCAAGGCAATGGTTAAAGGGGGTGAGGCCTTTGGCAGATAATCTAACAGAATCAGTGCCGTTGGGAGATGAGATAATCTAATGGGATCAGTGTCTTTGAAAATACAGCAAAAAAGTCAGTCATCTATGATCCAGGAAGCTGGTCCTCACCACAGGTTGATCTGTGGATGCCTCGATCTTGGACTTTCCAGCCCCTGTAAGAAGTACATTTCTGTTGTGTACAAGCTGCTCAGTTTATGGTATTTGGTTATAGCAGCCTAAACAGACTGGAAAAGGGTTAAAATTGAATACCAGGCTAACAATCAGCATCTCAACAAAGTCAAGACAATCACGAAGACATTTACCTCACTGGTGCCCTGAACTGGCTCAGATGCAGCCTTCGTGGCAGCTCCACCCTGAGAAGCAGCATTCAGCACTGTAGCACTGTCTTGGGTCAGTCCACCCAGCTGCCCACCGTTGGCATTCTTCAGCTTGTCTGCAATCCGCTGGTTTTCTTTTTCAAGCTTGATTTTGGCTAACTGGGCTTCCAACATCCAATGTTCCTTTTCCTGTTCCAGTTTAGAAATCTTTTCCAAACTCTGCTGAACCTTGAAAAGTGACATAGAGTACTGCATCTTAGAGAACAATGCAAACAAAACTTAGTGGTTAAAAAAAAATACTTAACAGAATATAAACCAAAACTAACTCATAAGCAAAGCCTAGTGTTGAAGTAAGCAGTGATGATTAAACAGGTGTGAAAAAGTACAACCATAAGCTAAGAAAATGAAATAGAACAAGATAAAAAAAAATACTATTTTATCAAGACATCCTTAACAAAGTGAAGAATCTGTAAACTTTGTATCCAACCAAAATGTAGTACCCAGAAGAATAAGAAAAAGGAAGATGTTGAACATAAGAGTAAGCAAACAAATAACTTTTAAAAACCCACAACCCAACAAATACAAAAGACATAAGCAAGCTATAAATAACACCATAGACATATAATAAGAAGGTGCCCAATATCATTAGCTATCAAGGAAAAGCAATTTAAATCTCTCATTGGTTTAAACTCAAAAAGAAAACATGAAGGTGACATGTTTGTGGAGCAACATGAACTTGCATCAACACAATATTGAGTAGGGGTCGGTGTTGCGGCACAGTAAGCTACCACCTATGACATCAGCAAGTATCAGCGCTGGTTTCTCTACATCCAGTTCCCTACTAATGAATGTGAGAAAGCAGCAGAAGATGGCCCAAGCTTCTGGAAGACTGGGATGGAGTTCCAAGCTGCTAGCTTCAGCTTGGCCCAGTCCTGGCCAATGCAGGTATTTGGGGAGTGAATCAGAAGATAAAAAGTCTCTCCTTTTGGTCCCTCTGCCTTTCAAATAAACAAAACAAAATCATCTGCAAACAAAGGAAACATGGCACCAAACAAAAGAGTCAGACCTGAAATGCAGATATAGCACAACTGCCCTTGATAACAAGTTGAATATTGGGCAATAAAACTGATCTATGCCATCATAGTACAGGTTAGGGGGGCCAGGAGAATAGGAATTGCAAAGAGGCATGAGGAAGGATTCTGAGGTCCTTATGTAGAAAACTGTCTTTCTGTTTTAAATCTAGTTGCTAGTAACATTATATGTTCACTTGTAACAATTCATTGAAATATACAAAATGATTTATATATATTCTTATGAGTATGTTATACTTTCATAAGTAGTAAAATAGGGCTAGGTGCAGTAGCTTAGCAGCTAAAGCACGCCTTGCACATGCCAGGATCCCATATGGGCACAGATTCTAATCCTGGCAGTCCCGCATCCCATCCAGCTCCCTGCTTGTGGCCTGGGAAAGCAGTCAACGACTGCCCAATGCCTTAGGACCCTGCACCCACGTGGGAGACCTGGAAGAAGCTCCAGGCTCCTGGTTTTAGATCGGCTCAGCTCCAGACATTGCAGCTGGTTGGGGAGTCAATCAGAGGACAGAAGATCTTCCTCTCTCTCTCCCCTCCTCTCTGTGTATCTGCCTTTCCAATTAAAAAAATAAATAAATCATTTGAAAAAATAAGTAGTAAAATAACAACAACAAAAATTGGGCATTCGGCCTAGTGGTTAAGACCCCAACTAGGATGCCTTTATCCATATCGCAGAGTGTCTGGCTCCAGCCCCTGATTCTGGCTTCATAATACAAAGCCTGCTTAATCAGATCCTGGAAAGAATCAGTGATGGTTCAAGTGACTGGGTATCCACTACCCACATGGGAGACCTGGATTGAGTTCCCAGGTCCTGGCATCAGCCCTGGGAGGGAACTTGTGTGGGCATTTGAAATTTAATCAGCAGATGGGAAGTTGTCCTTGTGTTCACATTTGGTTGCATGCACTCTCTTTCTGCCTCTCAAGTAAAGTTTTATAAACAACAACAAAAACCCTAGTTCTTGTGGCTAGCCCAACTTAAGCCTACACTTGCAGCACTGACATCTCATATGGGTACTGGTTCAAGTTCCAGCTGCTCCACTTCTGATCTTGCTCCCTGCTAACGGGCCTGAAAAGGCAGGAAGATGGCCCAAGTCCTTGGACCCTTGTATCCATATGGGAGCCTCGGAAAAAGCTACAGGCTCCTGACTTCAGACTGGCCCAAGTGTAGCCCTTGTAATCATTTGGGGAGTGAACTAGTGGATGGAGGATCTTTCTCTGTCTCTTTCTTTTCTCTCTGTAATCTGCCTAATTAAAATAATAATAATAATAATAATAAATCTCTAAACCTTGAGACCAAAGATTGAGAATTACATGAAAATAATAGCAATCAAATAGTAAATTCTTAGTGTTTTATCAACTAACATGACCAAACAATTACCATCTATCATGGCACTGTTCATGGTATTTTCTCACTATTGCATAGCAGCAATCCTATAATTCTTAAGGGAAAGTCACAGCTCCCAGCAGCTAGACCATTTGCTAAGCTGGTAAATACCAAGCTGAGCTGGGATTCATCTGGCCAGCTGGCAACTTTGAGTCTTTTTTGCTACACCACACTGCCTCCTGTTGGCTCAATGAATCTTTACTACAAGACCCTGGAAGGTGTAACCACAGAGGTTATCAGACTAGGCTACAGCTAGTGGATGGCAGAAAAGCATTAGCTCTGGTGTCACTCAATCTGTTACCTTCTGAACACTTTTCAGTAAAAGTTACTTAATTTATTTGAGTCTTACTTTTCTTAAGGTTTAATTATTGTTTATTTGAAACTCAATTACAGAGACAGAGGTAAAGAAAGAAATCTTCCATTCACTGGTTCACTACCCAGATGGCTACAAGGACCAGGGCTAAGACAGGCCGAAGCCATGAGCTTCTTCCAGGTTTCCTATGTGGGTGCAAGAACCCAAACACTTGGGTCATCTTCACTGCTTTCCCCAAACCATTGAGAAAAAGCAGGGACAGAGGTGGAGCAGCCAGGATACAAAATAAAGTCATGTGGGATGCTGATAATGCAAGTGGTAGCTTTACCTCTTGTATCACCACACTGACCCCTAGTCTAGCGTTCTTTACATAATAAAAGAAAAATCCAGGACTGGCACAGTAAACTAGTAGCTAAAATCTTCGCCTTGTACATGCCAGGGTCCCATATGGGAGTCAGTTCTAATCCCGGCAGCCCTGCTCTCCATCCAGCTCCCTGCTTGTGGCCTGGGAAAGCAGTTGAGGACGGCTCAAAGCCTTGGGACCCTGCACCCACGTGGGAGACTCAGAAGAGGCTCCTGGCTCCTGGCCTCAGATTGGCGCAGCTCCAGCCATTCCGGCCACTTGGGGAGTGAGTCATCAGATGGAAGGCCTTCCTCTCTGTCCCTCCTCCTCTCTGTACACCCAACTTTCCAATAAAAATAAATTAATTAAAAAAAAAAGAAAAATCCAAAAAGAATTTTTAAAGCATTCTAATTTTATTGTACCTCAACAGTTTTGTATTTGAATTGTTCTGTGAATAACCAAATTCTTAGTTTCAATAGCCTAGTAATTTAATATTAAGAAGTAATGTGTTCCCAATGAAAATCAGATCAGCAGAAACAAAATGCTGTGCCTCCACTGAATTTGTTTCCTTTTTAAAATATTGTTTCAAAACGAAAAGCAAGCCAAACCTGATAAAAGTTCAACTGTTATCACTTTGTAACAATTTCTGAAAAAAAGGTAAAAATTTTCTGAAGAAAAGGTAAGTCCGTCTACCAATCAAATTTTACTTATCAACTCAGCAAAAACAAAATTACTGAAAAATTTTCATCTCAGCTCATTCAACAAATGAAAAAAATGGGCCAACATTGTGGCGCAGCAGGTAACATCCTATAAGGAAGTGCACTGGTTCATTTCCCAGGTCCTCCATTCCTTATCCTGCTCCTGCTGATGGCCTGGGAAAAGCAGAGAAATGAGGGTAACAGGGCCCCTGCCACTCACGTTGGAGATCTGGATGAAGCTCTTGACTCGTGACCTTGGTCTGTCCCAGCCCTGACCACTGTGGCCATCTGGGGAGTGTACCAGCAAACTGAAGATTCTTCCTCTCTCTGTCTTTAACTCTCATTTTCAAATAAATAAATAAACATATAAATGTAATTCACCAAACCTCCAGCCCTTCCCTCCCTTTTTGCCTTAGCATTTCAGATATTTAAATTTAGAATCTAAATTGGAACAAAATGGATCATGGTCAACTGTGTTAATGTTATGTCAGTGCCAATTTTAAGGCCAAGTGAATCAAAATTTTTTAATTATCCACATAAGGTCTTCATTAAATTAAGACAGCAGTGAATTTTAGTATATATTAAACAATCTGACATCTTTACTTATTCAATCTATGTAATTTCAAAACTTTCTCTAATGGATTTCAGATCTCTGCTTTTCAACAATGTTTGTGTGATTCCAGGTGCCATACCTGTTGTGCAAGGCCTTCTCGACTTTCAGTAGAGCTGAGAAGGACACGGCGGTTTGACAGTGCTTCTTCATAAGGCACAGACTCCACGAGGGGCTGTGGAAAAAGCATTGTAAGAATTCCAGGTAAAAGAGTTTCACTCCTCCTTGCCCTACATACACAAATACGAATGCTAGACAGAGTGTGATCACAAACTAAGATACAGACCAACATGGATGATCTTCTTGAATACAGGTGAAAAGAAAAACAAACATTTTTAGAAAGACAATGCGAGAGAAGAGCTTGCCATGCTAATTATAAGCTACACTAACTACAATCATATGTGGGTCTGCACCAAAACACACAGATGAACAGAACAGAAAATCTGGAAACACACAAAAATGTACCATGTGACAAATATTGCACAACTGATTCAGTATAGAAAGAAGACTAGAATACAGTACAAGGAGAAGCAGCTAATTATCAGGAAAAATTTAATTCATCTTTTTACATCAAATATCGTAATAAATTCTAAAAGTATTAAGATTTTAAATCTAAAGAGCTCAGCCACAGAAGCACTGGAAGTAAATACAAAAGATACTACTAGGAAGCTGCACAGTACCATGGCACAGGGTAAGCTTCCACCAGCAGTGCCAGCATCCCAAATGGGCACCAATAAAAGTCCCGGCTGATCCACATTTAGTCCAGCTCCCTGCTAATCTGTTTAGGAAAGCAGCAGAGAACAGCCTCTGCAACTACATGGGGGACCCAGAAGAAGCTCCAGGGTCCTGGCTTTGGATTAGCACAGTTTCAGCCATTGTAGCCACTAGGGAATGAACCAATCAACAGAAGATCTCTCTGTGTATCTCTCCTTTTCTTTCTCTGTAAATTTGCATTTCAAATAAAAAAAAATAAGTCTTTAAAATATATTACTGTGAATGCTAGTGGAAAATACTACCTTAAAGACTTGTTTGATTATATAAAAATGACAACCTTTATTACCACCGCAAAACTAGAGGGAAATACACTTCCCAGATAAACACAGGATTAAAATCTTTAATATACAGAGAGCTTTTTCAACTCTCTTTAGGAACATTTATTTAAAAACAGGCAAGACTTAAACAGAGAACTGACAAAACACTAACAGGTAATTATAAAATGATGTTCCACTTCATTACTAAGTAAAGACATGCAAGTTAAAATAACAGTAAGAAACTTTTCCTCTCTGAGATTAACAAATACTAAATTCACATTTCTGCACACACAAAAAGGTAACCTCCTTGAAGTGCAGTCTGGAAAGATAAGTGACTTTGGACCGATTCTCTAAAACAACTGACACATACAGGGGAGACAAGTAGCTTTTATACATGGGCACTAATTATTAAAACCTAAATAGCGCAAAGTACATGGCTCAAAGCATCCTCCTTCTCAGAATTCCACACATGTGCCCAAGGGGACATTGACAAAGCAGTATTACTGCAACAATAAAAAACAGGAATCAATCCAAAACCCCAGAGCACTCATAAAATAGAATCTCATTTCATATTTAAAAGGAATGTAAAGGGTAACAAGTGTGACAATATAGGCGGAACTCTAAAATGCATTTTAAATGAAAAAAGCAACTTGTACAATGTAACATTTAGATCTGAAAATGAAAGAAGGGAAATGAAAGGAAAAAAAATTATACATTTTTCTTAGATTTATAAGGACATTACAAAAGTGTTCAAAGAGCCTAGAAGACCACACACCAAACTGACAGCCATTGTTACCTCTGGAGAGGAACTAGAATTGGGGATTATAACTTACCTGAAAAGTTCAATTTACTATAAAGATGTGTTTCTACATTGTAGAATTTAAAATATAAAAGGAATGAAGACAGACAAGTAAAATGCACAAAGTGCATGTACAGCCTACCCACCGTAGCATTGTTATAATGGGTTAATTATTACACATGTATAAAAGGAACTATCATAGGGCATTAAAATAACAATAATTAATATTTCATAAATATGGCTGATACATACCTGAATATATCCATTGTGCACTAAGAGAATAAAGATTCTCAGCAGGGGCCAGCACTGTGGCACAATGGGTTACACTGCCTCCTACAATGCCAGCAACCCAATTGGGCACCAGTTCAAATGTCAACTGCTCCACTTCCAACCCAGCTCTCCACTAATGTGCCTGGGAAGGTGGCAGAGACGGCCAAGTGCTTGGGCCGCTGCCACCCACATTGGAGATGTAAATGGAGCTCCAGTCTTCTGGCTTAGGTCTTATCCTAGCTCTTGCTGTGCAACCATTCAGGGAGTAAGCCAGCAGGGAAAAGATTCTCTCTCTCTCCCTCTTAACACCGCCTTTCAAATAAATGAACTGATCTTTAAGGGGGAAAAACCCATACATTTATTCTAAACAGTATTGTGCAGCTAGATAAAATCTTCTAATCAAGTAAGGTTTGGGTATCTGTCATCATCCTCAATACCAAACACCTGCATTCCAAAATTAAATAAAATCTAAACAAAATGAACCATAGACAACTTGTCATTCTCTGGAATGATGCCTGGTTTTTTCCCCTTCTGATTTAAATTACAGGGGCCGGTTCTGTGACATAGCAGTTTAGCCACTGCCTGTAGCGCTGGGTTGCCATAAGGACACTGGTGTGAGTTCTGGCTGCTCCACTTTTGATCCATCTCCCTGCTAACGTGCCTGGGAAAGTAGCAGATGATCACCCAAGTACTTGGGCCCCTGTACTAATATGAGAGACCCAGAAGAAGCTCCTGGCTCCCAAATGGCCTACCTCCAGCTGATGTGGACAGTTATAAAATGAACCAGTTGATGGAAGTCTGTCTCTCCCCCTAAACTCTGCCTTTTCAAATAAATAAATCTTAAAAAAAAAAAAAATCAGGGCCTGGTACAATGGCCTAGCAGCTAAAGTCCTCACCTTGGAAGCGCCAGGATCCTATATGGGCACCAGTTCTAATTTTGGCAGTTCCACTTCCCATCCAGCTCCCTGCTTGTGGCCTGGGAAAGCAGTCAAGGACGGCCCAAAGCCTTGGGTTCCTGCACCCACGTGGGAGAGCTGTAGGAAGTTCCTAGCTCCTGGCTTCAGATCGGCACAGCACCAGCTGTTGAGGTCACTTGGGAAGTGAATCATTGGATGGAAGATCTTCCTCTCTGTCTTGTCTCCTCTGTATATCTGACTTTGCAATAAAAATTAATAAATCTTTCCAAAAAAATCAAAAGCAAATTATAACAGCATATCACAAACCTTTCTCAAAGCCTTCATATAGGCAGCAGCTTTTTTCTTATACTGCAACATGCATTCTGCTGAAAGAGGACTGATGAATCCACTTGCTGCCTTAGGCCCATAGCTCAGCGAAGTGATGAAGTAGTCCAGGTTATTGCCAAAGAACGATGCAATCTGAACAAAGTGTGACAAGAAGACAGATTATGTTTTACAGTAATATATCTAAGTCATACATAATAGCCTTTGGAGATCAGTTTGAAGAAGCTGAGAACGAAAACAAAATGCCAACTCTTGGCTAAAACACCCATTTGCTCATTTGAAAGTATCTAGGCAATGACTTATAATTAGAAGAGGATACAGTATAAATATTGATATACACATTTCTGACATGTCCTATTCTACATAATTTCTATTGTTCCTGAAATCCAATACTGGTTATGATTTATCCTGTAGATGATTTCCATCAGCTGTTTATCTTACTAATTTCTTTTTTTTTTTTTAAAAGATTTATTTTTATTGGAAAGGCAGATATATGGAGAGGAGGAGAAGTGACAGAGAGGAAGATCTTCCATCCACTGAGTCATTCCCCAAGTGGCTGCCACAGCCGGAGCTTAGCTGATCCGAAGCCAGGAACCAGGAGCCTCTTCCTGATCTCCCAAGCAAGTACAGTGTCCCAAGACTTCGGGCTGTCCTTTATTGCTTTCCCAAGCCACATGCAGATATGAACTGACACCCATATGGGATCCCAGGGTGTGCAAGGCAAGGACTTTACACATCAGGCTACTGTGCCGGGTCTTACCTCACTAATTTCTATAATGTTCTCAAATATCTGTTTGTGTTTATTCCATTTGTAGTTTAATTTTGACTATGTTATATTCTGATAGGACATGACATAAACATACTGGATATATAATCTCCAGTTAAATTTACTTGTATATCTAAATCTATGACTTCAAAATGATGGAGAAAAAAACTCCTTGATAATTTAGTAGGCTCTTTCCATTTACAAATTTAACATTTGCCAAGCTTTAGCAGCAAGTGTCTGGGCGAGAGGATGCACTATGGTGGACTACGTCAGCCAACGGATGTTGGAAAGATTTTTCAACCTTGGTGAAGCAAAATCAACAGCATCTCTGAACCATCAAAACCGCTGGATGGGGATGTCCTCTTGAAATTATCTTAGAAATTCATATATGGAGAAGAATGTTCTGAGGGTATTGACTGTTACTTATGTAGTTTAAAATAGGTTATAAAAAGTCTGAAGTAAAGATAAAACATCTTTCCTTAAAGGAATATTTTAAGTTTTCAGGCAAAGCAAAGCTACAGTAAACTATGGAATATCCAGACATTCAATATTTCAGAGTTCCCACAAAAGGCAGCAAAGGCAGACTCCTGTAAAATGCCGACATTCTATTTTTACAATTTTTCTTAGTTGAATAAAAGTTGGTATTAGCCTCAGAAAACTTGTGGTATGCCATAGATGAAGGATGTAAGGGGGAGGCAGTGTGGATGGTTCCCTAGCTCAGGAACCCTGCACGACTACAACTTAAAGATAATGTGCTCTAATTGTAGATTCAAGCTACAACAAGCAAAGACTGCTCCCAGTTTGGGAAAGATGTCATTTACTTCTAACATGACATATGATCATAATGACCATCCTAAACTACAAAAGAAAGTCTGTTCTTTCAATGGAGAGCATATCAAGAAAAAGCATGGAGGCTGGTGCCACGGTATAGTAAGCTTCTGCCTAGGGTGCTGGCTTCCCACATGGGCACTGGTTCAAGTTCTGGCTGATTCACTTCTGATTCAGATCCCAGTTTATGGCTTGGGAAGACTGCAGAGGACAGCTCAAGTCCTTGGCCCCTGCATTCATATAGAAGTGGCAGAAGCTTCTGGCTCCTGTCTTCACATCAGCTCAGCTCCAACTATTGTGAATGGAAGATATATCTGTTTCTCTCTGTGACTCCATCTTTCAAGTAAAAATAAATAATTCTTTAGTGCAACACCTAACTATTCACTGAGCAAGGCAATAAGCAATAGAGCAAAGGGGAGGGGAGGAAGGGAGGGAGAGAGAGAGATTGAAAGAAAGAAAAAAGGAAGGAAGGAAGGAAGCAAGGAAAGAAGGAAAGAGAAAGACTTATAAAAATAGGCTGACATTTTCTTGAAAAATTATGGCAAATCTAAAATAGGCTAAGATACTTCTGAACATACTTTTTTGCGTTCACACACATACGAGGAGTTCCTAAATGAAATCTTTAATTAAAGGTGTTGGTGACAGCCATATAAAGAAAAATCAGAATATCTGTGATCAAAAGATTTTTAAAGAATTCACACCTTGGTTAGTTTATAATAATTGCTAAAAGATCCAAATAATTACTACCTTACATAAGAGTTTGGTGTAATGATATATCTTAAAAATCATTCTAAAGCCTAAAACAAAAGCAACATTATCACAAATGGTACCAAAAAAAAAAAAAAAACCCACAAAAAACAAAAAAAAAGACCTGGCAGAAAACAAATCCAACATATTGAGGTTGTATTGGGCCTTATTCCTTTTCTTCTTTTGCTGTGTGCTTGCAAAGTCCTATACAGCAGATCCTCCATGCAAACAAGGATCCATACTGACATATTGAGCCCATCTAGAACCTTCAAACCACTGAAACATAATTAGTGAATGATCCACCCAGTCATCACAGATGCTAAACCATCATTACCATATTGTTTGAACTGTAGATTACAGAGAAGGAAACAGAAGACAATTTTAAACACACACAAAAAGCTTTAAATTCCAACACTTCTTTTACAGATTAATTTTCCTAAGACATTTAAAAATAGGGAACATATTCACTATTAATGTAAGCCAGCCAGCAATTACCTTTCCTGCTCCATTTGTTAATGCCACTATTGATGACAGGATACAGTCATTAGTAGTGATAAGCTTCTGTGTTGCTGTTGGAAGTTCATGTTCTATTGTAGTTTTTTGACTATAATGTTTGGAAATATCTATAAAAACAGTCAAACAAAAATGTATTAATATCTACATTCACGTCACATACAAATAACCAGGTCATTCATTTCTTATATTTATTCTTATACATTTATAAATTTGACAAAAAAAAAATGGTCTCAAGTATCAGGATCATGCTGAATATAAATCAGATCACAAATCTATGTGAAACAAATATAGAGCAGGGTCTCCCAGAGTCATCTTGGAGGTCTTCACTGCAGCCACACTCTGAGTTTCACTGTTTCTCATTTGAGGACTAAGTGTTCTAGTATTGAGTAATTATCCTAACCACTATTTATCAGCTAAAACCACTGTTTTCATAGTCCAGCAGGCACTAGTGAGAAATTATCTTGTACTTACATAAGCAATCCGTAAGACTGGAAAAGAACAGCCAAATATAGGCATAACATCCCACAATCATTATTGGACTTCTGCCAGTTTGATAATATACACCCTAACTAGCCATGACAAAGAATTAGCACAAATAAGGACCGAATACTCTAATGTCTGTTTTCATGTGCTATTACTTCTAGTCCAAGAATAAAACAACAAAAATCTGTGGCTAAAAAAGCATAGAAGAGAGGTTTAACCACAAAAGGGCTAAGAGAAATTATAGTACATGAGACTGACAAAACAGTTAAGCTTTAGCACTTCCTAGGTCTCCAAGAGACAGAATGATTTTTCTCTAGAAAAGGAGGAATGGGAGAATTATCAGGAAAATGCTGGTTTACAATGTTAACTATACACTATATAGCCTCCATTGGACTTTTAAGAATATTTCAGTGGAAGAGCACCCATTATCATTGCCCATAAAGATTCACAAAACATGGAACCTGCTTTTTATAGCATCTATGCAGGAAATTTTATTTATTGAAAATCAACAAATCTAGTTGATTTCAAATGATAGACAAAATCAGAAACAAAACTATTTAAAAAGAAATGGCATGCAAGTTTGTTTTGTTTGTGTCCTGAAAGGCACAACAACAGAAAAAGAGTGTTCATACATGCCCGTTCATTCCCCAAATGCTCACAAAAGCCAGGGCTGAGTCAGGCGAAAAGCCAGAAGCCTAGAATTCCACTGAGTCTCCACATAGAGGCAGGGGACCAAGCGCTGCAGCCATCAGCTGCTTCCTCCAAGGATGCATTACCAGGAGGCTGGATCGGAAGCAGCGTAGCCATAACTCACACTGGCACTAAAATACAGGAGAAACTCAGGGGGCAACTTCACCCAAAGCGGTGGCTTTACTTACAGTGCCACAATGTCTACCCCACTATTTATGCTTTAATGTGATTCAGTGATGATATTCAAGCACAAACTTATAATGTTCTAATATAATATTTTTACTAAAATGTTCAAACTAGGAAATTTGTCAGTTATGTATTTATACATAGTTATATACATGTATGCACCCTGAAGACGGTTTTGCATTTAAAGAAAACTTACTGTTTCTACGTATCCCTACAGGTTTTCTCTATTATAAACATGTTACATTATCTACGGTTCAGTTATACCAATTAGTTGGAAGATTTATTATGAAATTCAGTATTTATGTTTTAGCTTTACTTATTTTTAACTGGAAAGGCAGATCTACAGAGAGGAGGAGATAGAGAAAGATCTTTCATCTGCTGGTTCACTCCCGAAGTGGCCACAATAGCCTGAGTTGAGATGAACTGATCCAAAGCCAGGAGCTCATGAAAGTGTAGAGCCCCAGTGCATTGCACCACTCTCCAGTGCTTTCCCAGGCCATAAGCAGGGAGCTGGATAGGAAATGAAGTAGCTGGACACAAATCAGCACTCTTATGGATTGTTGGCACTTGGAGGTGGAAGGTTAATCCACTGTGTCATTCCAAAAGTTCAGTATTTTTAAAAAATAAGTGATTACAGGCCCAGCACGGTAGCCTAGTGGCTAAAGCCCTCAGCTTGCACACACAGGGATCCCAAACGGGCATTGGTTCATATCCCAGCTGCTCTGCTTTCCTTCTAGCTCCCTGCATGCAGCCTGGGAAAGCAGTAGAGGATGGTTTGGGAGACCCAGAGAAGACTCCAGGCTCTAGATTCCTGACTTTGGATCAGCTAAGCTCCGGCCGTTGTGGCTGCTTGAGGTGAACCAGTGGTTGAATGATCTTTCCTCTCTGTCTCTCCTTCTCTCCATAAATCTGACTTTCCAGTAAATATAAATAAATCTTTAAAAACAAAAAAATAAAATGATCACCTAAATAATCATCAATTACGCAAGCAGATAAAAATTCAATTGGCATGTCCAACACTTGCTGCATATTGAACATTCTAGCCCCCAAAGCATTTTCTTTCCACATACCGCAGACAATATTATTTAATATTTTACTGTAACTACCGAATCTCATAATAACTTGATTGGCAGGCAGTCTTGGTTAGTTGGCAGGTGCTGGAGTCCGTGTGATGGGGGTGGAAGACAGGAAGGTGTGAAGAGCGTGGCTCCATTGCAGGCAAGGTTGCAAGGAACTTCCCGCTGTGTGGCAAGGCCTGGCGGATGTCTCTACAACACCTGAATGTGGCTCTGCCTCCCTTTGCATGGACACCAGACAACCCCACTGAGAATTCTGTAATCTATTTAGGCATTGCCTGCCTCTGCGGAGTTACTGTTAAACGTCAATAGGAACTTAGAAGCTAATGTTGCTAGTGCCGTTTTTAGCCAAAGAGCTATTATCGCTGTTAGGGCTGCATCCTGTGGCGATATGCTAACCAAGGGTACTAACTCCCCTTTTGATCCTATGCTAATCAAGGGAGTTCTGCCTTCAGGTGTAGTGGGAATCTATTCTTTCCTTCTTCTTTGATCTTTTAGGCCCCTTCCTCCCTTGACTATCTCAAGACCAATTGTGGTAGGAATGTGCTACTAACTGATATGCATCATCTGTTGAAAACCTTTTCCTAGCCAGGCTCCAGATGCCAGATGAACAGCAACCTAGCCTTAGGTGAAACAAATGGCAGAGTTATCTTTAGAAACCCCCGCTTGAGCGTGACGTAAAAAGCCTGAGCCAGAGTTTGACTGATTTTGTATAAATAAAGCGGACAGCTTTTGTGCGTGGTCCATCACGATGGTCAAGAGTTCCTAGTGGTCCGTCTCTCTCTTTCTTTGCGCCTCATTCACGCACCCTTCGCGAGCTCCGAACTCAGCTGGAGCTGGACTCCGGCAAGTGGCGCCTGAACAGGGACTCGACGAAGGTAGGTCTTTTCTTTCTCTTTGCGGCGTGGATAGGACTTCACCCAGGGTGCTGCAGGCCCCCTGACAGAAGGTCAGGTTAGGAGGGGTGAATAGTCAGAACTTATATTGAGAAGTTGTGTACCCTCTGTGCTGTAAAAATGGGCCAGAGCGATTCTAGTGAAAGAAGTTTATATGCTGATATTATTAAACATACCTTACATAGGAAGGGCATTAAAGTTAGCAAGAAGCAATTATTAGAATTTTTACAATTTGTACAAAAAGTTAGCCCGTGGTTTATTGAGCAGGGCACTTTAGAATTAAACACATGGGACCAGGTAGGAAATGATATGAAAAGGTGGTATCGGAGTAATGGACGAGTGGGCATGCCATCCTCTGCATATGCCATTTGGAATGTTTTACGGCAGGCACTAGATGTGGGTCCTGAGCCTTATCCCGCGCCTTCAGCTCAGCAGGGAGAACATACTCCCCTTCTTGATCCTGAGAAGGGAAGCTTAGGCCTTAGTTATAGCTCAATGGAAAGTGTCTGTCCTGAAGATAATGTAAAATATTGTAAAACTGATCATGGAAGTTTAACAGATGAGGAAGAAGATTTTTTAAAACCAGAAATATTTAGATCAGGAGTTAGAGATTGTGAAAAGGGGCAAATGGCTGAGTTACATGATAATAGGTCTCCTGCTGTTGCTGATAAGCCTTCAAGGTATTCTGCTAAGCCTTGTGAGCCCCTTCCACCTAGACCAGATCCAGCAAAGATTGGCTTTAATGGGGCAATGCAGCAGGCACATAAGGAAGGTGATTTTTTCTGTTTTCCTGTTGTTTATGAATGCGATGATCCTGAATGGGAACCGTTGCCTCATAAGCTTATTAAAGAACTAAAGCATGCTGTCTCTGACTACGGGCCAAACTCCCCGTACACTATGGCAATAGTGGAGAGCCTAGCAGCAAAGTGGATGACTCCTTATGATTGGTTTCAGGTTGCTAAGGCTTGCCTCACAGGAGGAAACTTCCTTTTGTGGAAAATGGAATATGAGGAATTAGCTAAAGCAGAAGTAAAGTCTCAGAGATCTGTGAGGCATGGCAAACTTCCTTTTACCTTAGACATGCTTTTAGGACAGGGCACTCATCTTGGCGTTTCAGAACAACTTACTCTGCCTAAGGAGACATTACAGCTTATCTCCTCCCTGGCACTAGGAGCATGGAGACGCTTGCCATCTCCAAATCAAAAGTCTCCAGGTTTTGTAAATGTTAAGCAGAAGCCTGAGGAGCCTTTTGCAGATTTTGTAACTAGACTCACCGAAGCAGTCAGCCGGACAGTAACTAACAATACAGCTACAGATCTCATAGTTAAACAGCTAGCTTTTGAGAATGCCACTCCAACTTGCCAAACCTTAATTCAGCCAGTGAGAAGGACAGGAGATTTGGCAGACTATGTTCGAGCTTGTGCTGAAGTAACACCATCTTACATGCAAGCGTTAACTATCGCTGCAGCTCTTCAGGGTCAAACTGCTACTCAGATTTTAAAGAACATAAGAGGCAATCAAAGAAATAGAAAAAGAAACAATTGCTATTCTTGTGGTGGAGTAGGGCATATCAGCCACAGCTGTCCTGCCAGAAACTCATCCCAAAATTTCAAACAGGAAAAAACTTATAGGGACACTCCTAAATCCAATTTAAATATTCCTCGCACTGTCTGTCCGCGGTGTGAGAAGGGATTTCATTGGCAAAAGGCTTGTCAGTCTAAATTCCACAAGAATGGGACAGTTCTATTGCCTCGCAGTCGATCTAAATTGAGTAAA